GCTTTGATATCTACTGTAAGTCTTAAATAAATGATGATCCTATCACTGATGACGAACACAAAACCAATTTTCCCATCTTGGATCAAGGTTATGAATCCCTTCCACACACTCAAACACGTTCACACACAGTATAGGATGAAATGATAACACGGCGCTGGGAGGTCTGAACTATGCTCAGCGATGTTTTGAAGATTTGCTATAAGATCCATCTGCACCCTGCAGAGCCTTTTGGGTTTCAGGATCAAAATCCGCAGAGCCACACAGGTGGCCCATTACTTTAGAAAGGCAGAGCGAAGGAAGAAATAACCTTTAAGATAAGAGATTTTTCAATCTTGACAGCATGAGTGTGAAATGAATATTATTTCTTTCTTTTTTATGTAGGTCAGATGTGATTGTTTGTTGAAATCTTGATAAAAAACAAACAAACAGGATCATCTGTGGTATCGTGATCTGCCACAAAGCTGTGTTTAATGCTCAGTGATCTTGTCTTTGTGCTCCTTTCAAAGGCTTTGACATGACGGTAAGGAAGCAATGTGAAGGAGCATCCATCCAGAATCCCTGACATTTTCAATAAGGAAACCCTGTTAGACTCAGAAGAGAGAAAAAACAAATCCTAAATATCCTCTCAGCACCTCTAACATTTACCTCACAGCCATGTTTTTCAAACAGGCCATGTCTGTCTTGACAATTTTTTTTTTTCAACCTAAAGCCTGCCTTTGATGAAGCATGTTGAGGTCATGTTGTAATGATGTCAGAGGAAAAAGGCAGAGAAATTAACCCTTTAATCCAGTTTTTCCACTCTGTCTTATAGTAGTATAAATACAAATCTTTACTCAAAGTCAGGGTTATGTTGCCAGCTATATCGTTCAGTTCAACTATATGCAATCTCTGAAGTGAAGCCCTCCTTCTCACATGAAGCACGACGCTTGTCTTTTAAACGCTGAGCTATGACGACACCAAGTGGTCAGAGAACGTAACATCAGCTTCATGATACTTGTTCTTTGGTTCTATCAGGCTCTCGTGCTTTCTTGTCTTTTCCGGCTTCTCTATTTGTGTCTATGACCTCACGCACAAGCTATGAGGCAGTTTGGTCCATTGTTTATTTTCTGGACTTTGATTTGGCTCAAAGAGCAGGATGTGACAGAGCTGGATTACCCAACTCTTCCCTCAACATCTGGGTGCAAGATGCCCGACCAGACGAGCTGTGTGTCTTTACTTCAGCTATTCATCCTTTTTTTTCTCTCTCTCTCTCTCTCTCTCTCTAAATGCATTCCCTCACACTTTCCTCTGCTATCATCTATGTCTCCTAATCCTTTCCTCCATTTCTTTTATGGCACTTAACAGTCTGAATCATTTTACGAGCAGAGAAGAGCCAATGACACAAAAAGAGAGACAAATAACATAACAGCTAAGAACATTCAAAGTGTTGTGTGGGAGAACTACAGTAGGCCTTCCATGGGGACTTAGAAAACATACTTTTGAAACACACTTATTCACTTTTGAGGAGTTTGACACGAGGAAAATAAACCACTGCTTTTCTTACAGTAATGCGTCAGAGCCACGCTTAGTTTAGCTGCTTAGCTAACAAGTGATTGCATCCAGCCAGAAATGATTAATAGAATGTAAAACAGCAGCATGTTAAGGAAATGAGATGTAACATGTTGTTTTGTGAGCCAGAAAAGCATTGATTTTGAACAGATACAGGACTAGCGTTTGACCCCTTAGTTTCCAGAATTTGTGCTGAGCTAAGCAAACCTGCTGCTGCTGCTACAGTCACTACATTTTTAGCGCTGAGGCATGTTCATGGTGTGTAGATGCTTTCATCTCAATCTTAGCTATAAAGGCAGTAAGCCTATTTCCTATATTGCAAAACTATTACTTTTATGTAGAAAAAAACCCCTCTAGCTTCTTGCAGGTAGAGTAGCCTAATTGTGAAATAACCACAATTCATTTGTCATCGAGAAGTTTTTTCTTCTTCCATTAATTTGTCAAAATCATGAATTTTCACTTGAAAATATGGATATTTTCATGTTAGGTCAGTACCTCTAGAATATCTTAAACACTTTACTCTTTCAGTGGTGACCACTTGTGTTAAACTATAAGCAATAACAGTGCACAGTACTGTGCAGACAGAGCCACTGACCTTCATCCTCCAGGATCAGTTGAAGCTTGTTCTCTCAGACTTTTATCCCTCCTACTGGATCTCAGTCCAGACGTTTCCTGTCCCCCAGGGGTTCTGGGCAGCATCTCCTCTGTATGTGACTGTGAGTGTATTAGGATTGCAATGTGCACTGAATCCTCCTGGCTCAGGTTAACAGACAGTTAACTTAAGTCCCCCCCCCCTTTGTACAAGTCAACATTTCATTTCGACAGGAATCTTAAATCATAAGAAGGCTTCGGGGAGCAGTTCAACTGGAGGGATCAGAGACAATCTGGACCTGATCACAGGAAATGCTTTGTGTGTCACAAAGAAAGAATCTAACTGAGGCTGTCTTTTTATTTATTTATCCTCGGGTCTGGACGATACATTATCATCAGTGCTTTAGAGTTTGAAATACATTTATTTTCATTGTACAGAGAATGTGTGTGCGTGTGTGTGTGTGTGATTAGTTTCCACTGGTTGTCATCAGGTTCTGACATGCTGTGATCAATGTTGCTGCTTTAATCTCACAATTTGGTTTTCCTCCCAGCAGATAAGAGAGTTTATGTGTTGTTGTGTTGTGAAACTCAGAGTTTAAATGTGTTATTAGGGGGAAATATTCCTCTCTCACTGCCTGATATTTTGGGTATGATGTCAGGAAGTGGAGTTCTGTCTCTACCTGTGAGGTGTAACACTGCTCTGAAGTTTTGCAGAAAGTGCTCTATAATGTCTTTTTGTCTTTGGGACGGCAGTATATCTGTAGGAACTTGGGTTGGGAACTGGAGGGTCTCTGGCTCAAGTCGCAGCAACCAATTCCGACCAAGTCCGGAATTGGTTTGGTAGCTGGAGAGGTGCCAGCCCTCCTCCTGAGCACTGTCGAGGTGCCCTTGAGCAAGGCACTGAACCCCAAAAATACTGCTCTGGAGTGCTCGCTGTGGGAATGAATGTGTCTTGGATTTGTTAATACTGATGGACACTTTTCATAGCAATCTCTGCCACCAGTGTGTGAATGGGTGAAAGTGTGACCTGGGGCGTAAAAGCGCTTTGAGTGTCAGAAGACTAGAAAAGCACAATAAAAGCTCAAGTTCGTTTATATGAACAAACACTGGTAATTTAATACAAATTTATGGTCTTATTTAGGCAACCACTTTAATTGCAGCATTAACAGATTATAGATCTGACTATGTCCACAAACTGTGTTGAGTATTAGAAAACACGTTATGTTGTTTAATGTGTTGAACGACACAACTCTTTGCACATTAGATCACGGAAATGTGTTTTGTTTGAGCCAGAGGCAGAAAGAATGTGTACAATTGCCCAGTCCATTTCACACATATTACACAGATATGTTTACAGTACTTCACCACACACTCTCTCTCTCTCTCTCTCTCTCCATGAGGCCTGTGCCCCCTGCTTGGGAGCAGCAGCCAGGAGAGAAAGGGAGCAAAGGCAGTGATACTGTAGGGAGTGAATAAGAGAAGTCTGATTAGAAGCCAGTATTGGCACAACTCTCCTCCCAAGCAGAACCCCGAGCATGTGGGCCCACTGGCGGGATGGACAGACCGGCAGTTCTGGGGTTTGGAGGAGGAAGAGTGGCCAGCTGGAGCAGTAAAAGACTGGTATTGTGAGGCTGACTGACGCCTCCGCGGAGCAGAGATGCAGGCTGTCGGAGGTGGCCTCTTTCTGGGCCCCTCTGTTCTGATGCTCTGATGGAAGTGGGTCAGACGGACACAAGAGCAATCGGAGAGGGGTGCACACTGTGGAACTACAAGACAAAGAGGCATCTAAACAGTGCAGCCAGCTGAGAGGGACGAGGGCAGAAGGTTGACACTGTTATGAAAGTTCTAGCGCAGAGACGATTATCAGTATTGTGCTCAAATTATCTCAAGTGATTGTGGATGACAAAGGGATGTCAGTCATGTAGAGTTATGTCCATTTGCTGGAAGAAAAATCTGAAAAGTCTGCCATTCCTTACCTTCATCAAATCTGTTTGTCTCACGCCTGACACAAAGTAATACATGTAATAATGTAGAGTCAGACCGTTCAGGACAACATGTAAAGAAGTCTTTGAAAAATGTTCAAACAGAAAGCTGTTGCTCGTCTTTCCAGGGGGAGGCAGTGTTCACATTCAACCCACATTAACATTCTTCACAGCATCCATTTTGCCTCCAATTCTTTGCAGCTCTTAAACTGCAAAATGATCGCCAGCCACAGAAGCGAGCGAGAAGCTAGTTATCTCGTTACTGATGTGGGGACTTTGAAGAGAGGAGAAAAAAAAAACGGGGTTGCTGCGTCCTGGCACACGGGAGGCTGGAGAATAACAACACAATAAAAAGAAAGATCTGAGGAGTCGGAGGAATGTGAAGAATGGGAGAGTAAAACTTCCCTCAGAGCACAGACAAAAGGCGATGTCACACTACAACCTGGAACACACTTGGAAATACAATAAAGTTGTGTTTAAGAGCATTGTGGCTGCAGCTCAATGTAAGAGTCAAATAATTGATTCCTCATCGATATATAGGCCTACATTTGATTTTTATAATCCAAGAAAACAGAATGAAAAGCTTTTGACTTGAAGTCCAATTCAAACAGATTTGATGCCTTGAATCGTTCGAGGGAAAGTTGCATGTCATGCTGTAACGTGTGTATGGAGGTATGTGTGGTTCTGCTTTACATCTGTCCTGGCTCCCTGTCAGAGAGCATCATCTGGTTACACATTCTGTTTGTTCTGAAACACAACATGCTTTGTATTTATCCTCCCACACGCAACCACAGTGGGAAATCCACTGAAAAGTTAAAATCAAGTACAAACAAGACATTCTTTGAGAGAAAAAAAAAAACAGACCACACCATTACACGCTTGGTCTTGGTAAATACTTTATATGCAATAGTTCTTGATCTTTGCAAACACTGTATAGAAAACACTTAAGGTAACATTGTTCGAACATTTAAAGCGCGTCTGAGCTTTCAGACAGACATGACACAGTAATCTACAGCTTTATAAACATTCCCCCCCTCAGGCCTGTCCATTCACACCCCTCATCACCAACACACAATCCTTTCCACACACACACACACATACACACACAGCCACCTCTATCAGGCTCTCATCTTATAATTCACAGTAGGCTTTATAACACTGATTCTGTATCGTATGATGTTCTCAACATTTGTATTTATTTAAAATAGCTATCAACAGTAATGCTGTAATATTTGGAAAGTGATACATATGTATTTACATAAGCTTATTGAGCAAGAATCAAATACAATATGTGTTTACATATGTATAATTTTACGTGTGTATATTTGAGTGTGTGTATGTGTGTGTGTGTAACCAGAGCCACCTCATTGTTCTCTTTGAATCACACTGACAGCGTCCAGTCTTTTCAATCCAGTCCAGTTAGGAAAGATGGAAGTGCGGAGCTCTGACATGTTTTTTCCCCCCGCCTCAGTCTCAGTTACTCCAAAAGAGGCAACGCGGAGTAGCAGAGCAGAGTGAAACCGGCCACTGACTGTCCCTGACAGCGTGAGGAGATCATGGGAGACTGAATGGACATGGTTTAAGGTGCTCACAGCACGGTGGACTCATCATACGTTCTTCAGGATGCATCAGCCGTTGCCATGGACGACCGTGCTCTTAGGGTCCTACAACCTCAGCGACTGGCACATTCCAGGCTAAAGTTAAAACGTGGCAAATGGTCACAGTACCATGTCTGATTTTTAAAATGCTTCCTTAATCATAAAAAAAAATTGGATCCTTCCAGGCCGATGAGAATTCTTCCCCTTCAGCTAATCGTACAATACTCCCTCCACAGTCATCCTCCTCCTTTTTCCTTTCACACACAGGGATGCAAGCACTCACGTGTACACTCATATACACAAAGTACAGAAGAAAGCAATTACACCTACACACACACACACACACACACACACACACACAAAAAAAACAAACAAAGAAGGTAGGCGCACACACACACGTGGCCGCACATACACGCTAAGACCTGGGTAAAAGACCAAACTAATGTGAGAGGAAAGTGAGGCACATTATCTGACAGGCAGAATCAAGCCTGAATTTTGGTTTACTCAAAACTGAAGTCAGATGTAGATGATTAAGGTGTCACAGAGAGGTCCAGGCTTTCAGCCCAGTGAGAACTTTTAAAATGTAAAATCTACGTAGCACCTCCCAGGTGCCTTACACGTACTCAGAATCTGTAAGTACCGATGAAACAGAGACAGTGATAGAAGCTCTGGCTCCATAGTCCACACGAGTACCAGCCATGCAGGCAAATCACTTTTGGGTGGTTGGACTTAGGTACGGTAGTGATGATATGAATAGTGCTTAAAGGCTTTGCTTTTCTTTCACATCCTCATTTGCTATTACCGAGGTCGAAGGCATTTTAACAGAGATCCATGAAATTAAACATTTAAAGAATTTATGTGCTCCAACATTCTCAAACTCTGGGTTAGGAACCCGGATAGGTCACAAGCCTACTCCATCTGGATCCCTATATATGGCAAGAAAAGCAACAGGTTGTCATGAGCTGGGGTCAGAGGAACAGGGGATACAGTTTGTTGTTTCCTGGATTTAAAAAAAGCTTAATAACCACAAACAGTGTGTCTGTTTTGAACAGTGGTTGAAAATAGAAATGTTGAATCAATCTCTTGAGGGCGTTTACAGAGGTGCTTGAAAGGCCTCTGTGGGTTGTTGAGGGCCTTTAATACAAAGTGGCACCACTTTGCTATCCCTGTATGGAAATGTCAGTCTTTTGTAACTCATTCTTTCATCTATCTTTTCTTAACAGTATCTAATAGCTACTTCATTTTCCTGGGTGTGATGGATCACAGGGTCAGGTAATTTAGTTCTGAATTGATAACAGAAAGTGATAGTAAGGGAGAATGAGAGAGAGGGGGTAATCAGTCCATCCTTCCCGTCATCCCTGACTCTTTAGGATGGGGATCAGGAGTTTAGATGAGTATCAGTTCAACCGTCATCTGGTGTCGAGTCTTCAGGGGTGGACGAGTCCTCAGCAAAGTCGTCTGACGAGCCGCTCTTGTGGATGCGGCCATCGCTACGCATACTGTGGAAAGTCTTGCGGAAAGCCTCCATCATAGAGTGTGCAAGCTTCTTGGCCTCCAGCTTGTTCTCACACTCCACTGCGTGGCAGTCCATCTGGAAGGACAGGTCGTCGTTAATTTCCCGGTAGATCCAGGCAAAGACGTTGGGTCTGACGCTGTGGTCGGCTGTGCAGTAGGCGATTCGTGCCACCTGGTAGGTGTCCATAGTTACTGAGGCCTCGCCATGCCCATCCATGTGGTGAAGACGCACCTGGAAAGGCCGAATCTCCAGCAGTGAGCTGCCTGCGGGGCAGGTGCCTTGTTGCTGGGTAAGGGCACGACGCTCCACCAAACCCACCACTGCCGACTCTGTGCAGCCAGACAGGAACTGGGTCCCAGAAATAGCCACTTTACCCAGGTAGGCCACCTGTAGGTAACGAGAAACACACAGGTGTTATTAGACTTTACTTTTCAACAATGCAGCGTATGACAAATGTACATACACATAAGCAGCTGGCAACAAATTAACCACAATTTCACCAGATGTGCAGAATGACAGCTTTAAACGGGAAACAATAAAGACATCTGTACATAGAGTTGGACTTATCTGCCCATTGCCATAGTGAAAGAGACTTACATTAGAATGATCTCTAAATCACTCTTCTTTAAGAAGTTACCAGGAATGAAAAAGAGGAAAATCAAGTAGAAACAAGAAATGCAGTTGACGACGCAGGGACTATAAAATACATTTTACAGACAAAAGCTGAAATAATAGGCAGGTTCGTACTTTGAAAATCTAATCAGGCTTTTTTCTACAAGATTTCTAAAATAAGTTGTTGCAAATATAGCCTTATGACCTAAACTGCAAAGCTAGTTCACCTTCTGACATCAATGGAGACCTAGAAACAACCAGCAGAGCTCACTGTTGGGAACGCACAAGCATATAGGAAGTCAGCAAATCAGTGAGATTGTTTTTTGCCTCTTAATGCATGAAAATCAGCGAAATACAATTAAAATCAATGCAGAGACAAACAGAGTCTGTGCAGTTTGGCTAGGGGAGGAGAAAGACAAATATCTCTCTTTGTGCCAATTATAATTCAAGCTGAAGCATTCTGCACCACTTAAGAGTCGTGGAGCGTTTTTTTAATTTTATTTTAGTTTTAATAGAAAAAAAAATCTACAATAAGACTTTGGACAAAACGGATGTCTGCATGTCAACTTTTTCATGAAGAAACTAGAAATGCTGAGTCGTTATGTGTGGCAGAAGTAATCTTGGTCAAAGATGTAAAAATCAATGCCAAAAATGTCTTTTCCTTTTTGAGAAAATTCAAAATGAAAAACAACGTTTCCATTTGTGATCATCTCACGCAGTTTTCTACATTTAAAAAAAACCTGGCTTTAAATGTTCAGGGAGCTGAAGAATGTGGAGCAAATTGAAAAATTACATTTCTTTGAGAACTAATTAATTCCATGTTCAGCACACATCTTTAGGGTAATGGACCTGAAAAACTGGAGGTGTTTGTTTTTCTCTGAAGGGCTGATTTCAGGCTTTGTTTTTCTCATTTTCTCAGTGTGCTGACAAGCTGAGAGGCTGGGCATAAGTTATTTCCCAAAGAAAAAGAGAAAAAACACTATGTTGAGCCGAGGCTGCAACAAGGACTGTAGAATACCATAGTAATGACAGTGCATACCAAGAGAGCGATAGACTGAGGGGATAGAAAGGGATAAGATCAGAGATAGAGAGAGAGAGAGAGAGAATTAAGAAGTGAACAAAGCTGGAGTTTTCTATGGGAACGTGGCCAGTTGGAGAGCAGTCCGGGAATAATGGTTGACTTGTGCACTTTCTCAACATGGTGTTCTTTATAGCTTTATAAAAATACACAGAGGAGGAGCCTGCTACAAGTCAAACACTCAAAGAGTTTTCACTCCTGTCTGTGTTTATAATGGGGTGGGGGGGGAATACGCTCTGCTCTCAAGAGTTCATTACAGCTGGTTAACGTGTGGCACATATGGAGGGAGATAACACAAGTGCAAAGATAAGTGTGAGTTTTAAAGAGATATGTATCATGTACTGCTTAGAACATGTGGCTTGCTTTCATAGTTAACTGCCTTCTTCCGAATGTCAACCTCGTCCGTGGTCTCGATTACTCTTTATCCTAAAGAGAATGTAATCACATCCAGTACTTGTAGTTCATCGTTCTGACAACAGCAGAGGTCCACCCTGAAGACCAGCAGATAACGCTGTAAGACTGAGGTAGAAACCTGAAGGGTGACACAAAGTGGAGGTGTGGATCCCGTTTACTCTTCACATGATCTGACTGCCTCTCTTTCTTTGAAAGTTTTGTTTAGTCTGCAGCCGTCAAGTCTACCTGGCCTCCTTCACATGATTTCTTTTGACTGAAAGGAATCTTTCAGAGGAAACATATAGAACAGTAGTCCAGTCATTCCATCAGTCCACCAACATTCAGTCATACAGGAATTTAAGTCTAATGTAGGGCTGAATCATTTACCACCAATGTAAAAACTGATGGCATGCAAGCTGACGCAAATAATTCACTACCTTTTTTTTCTTGTACCCCAAAAAAAACAAAAACCCTTTAAAGAGTTAAAGATAAACAGTAGAACTCAAAGATGTGTCCAGTGATAGAGAGACAAAAACTGAGATCAAAAGACTTGTATCCCTGTCAAGTACAGAGCTGGAGCCACCAGATGGTTAGCCTAATTTAGCATAAAGACTCAGTCAGCCTGGCTGTCCAAAATAACCAAACACATGTCAACACCTCTAAAAAACTAGTTTAATATGAAACCAAAGTGAAAATGGTAACTTGATATTTTAGATTAGTAACATGTTACTACTTGTGGCATAGTTGCAGATACGTTCTACATTAAATGCCAAGATTTAGGGGTGGGATTGCTGTTTCCATGTTTAATCATAAAAGAAGCAGCATATTTCAGCCAAATGATATCCCAAGAACAACAACAAAATGGTATTCAGAATTTTCAGTAAAGAAGCACGTGTACTATCTGGTCCCCAACTGCAGCGTAACATGACTTTCCCAGTCTTCTCAATGGCAACAGTAAAGGATTGAGGCAGTGAAAGCAGCTGCCTTGTCATGTCTGCTTTTCATTAGTGGTGACCGCAGGGTGGGATGTACAGCCATTGCACCCGATCCATCATTCAGCTGAGTAGCACAGGTCTGCAGGAGCAGCCTGGAGGCAGGGCGGTTTGCTATTTAACCACAGTTGACACCTTCTCAAAGCCAAAAGGCGGTCAGTCACTCAGCCAGCCAACAAATCCAAAGACCGCGCCAAGAAACATCAACCATTCACAGTGTTCCGTTTGTATGTCAAACAGCAATAAAGAGTCATTGTAGACTTCTTTTCTCTGACTTGTATTTTGATATCGAGTTACTTGTTCAAACTACGTTTGTCTCTACTGATTGCTTTCTTTTCTTGTTGAATAAACTCGACCAGACTGCTCGGCCAGGTTTGAATTCTCTAACAGCAGCTGGGAGCCAGCCAAAACACATAGCATTTTCTCTCAATCTATCTGTTCTTCTGCTCTGTTAGAAAATCAGGAAGCAATCCAGTTAATGTTCCTGGTTAATTCATGTGACCAGCTTGGGACGAAGAGTCGGCAAAGACAGCATGGTGAGGAGTTGCAGCAGCTTAATATTTACACTGAATAATAAAAATAAATTGTTAAAGGTCCCATATTATGCTTTTTCTGGTTTTATATGCCCTTTAGTGTGTTTTCCAAGTGTCCTGTGCATGTTTAGGCACATCTATATGCAAAAGTTCAAAAGTCCGCGGAAACACGGTTTCTCCTACGTCCTCCTGTTAGCTGTAGCATTAGCCGCATGTAACGCTCGGTTCTAGCCCCCCTCGATAAGAATTTGTCAAGCGGCGTCATTGTCAGTGTGAGATCAGACTCAGAGCGTAGAGGGAGCAAGGAGGAGCAGTACATGAAAACAAACACTTTTTTCGGACTTTAGCTATTGTGAACGTACAAAAGTAGTACATAGATTAAATATACGAACTCCAAAAAGGACATAATATGGACTCTTTAAGTCTTATGTTTCTTTCGTTGAGTTGTTTTTTTTCCAACTGGTCATATGTGATTCACATTTCAACATATGTATGTATGTATATACATACATAACAAAAAAGGAGGAAAATCAGGATCTATTAAGGGAGAAGGAAATTATTACTAACCTGGCCTGTTGATAGTTAACAACTCTGAAGGGAATAAGCATGCCAAAAGAAGAATGATGAAAAGAAAAACATGCATCAGGCAAGTGTGTGGGTGTTCGTGTGTGTGTAGAAGGTTACAGAGAAAGATAAGTGACAAGAGTGCAGAGTTAGGAGGTCACCAGAATGAGCAAATATTAGTGATCGTTTCTTCTAAGTCCAAACACAACATGCAGCTGGAGAGGAAACTGGTACATTGTTGAGCAGAAAGAAGAGGGATAAATGGAAAAAAAAAAAAAATGAAAGTAGGACAGATGAAAAAAAAAACAAAGGTGACTCTACTACAACACGATTCAAATGCAGATCAACCTTTTCCACCTGGTATTAACCTGTTGTCTGTGGAAGGATATAGTGTCTGCATTAGGAAAGATCAATGTTTGAGCATAAACACATACCTAATACAAAACAGAATCTGGAGTTCACTTACTGTATAAGTTAACATACATGTAAACTCTGAGTTATTGAACACAATAATAGTTGACTGGTTGTTCTGTTAACATTGTGTTGTTGTGTCCACATTTGTAACAATAGGATAGCTTTATAATATAACTGTGTTGTTTCAATACATTGCATTGACGATACAGTAACGCGAAATTGAAAAGAGTGGACTTAGAAGAGAGACACTGCATCATGCTAATATAAATGTGTTCACGATGAGCGTTAATATCTAGAATGGATTAGGAAGGAAGGAAGTGGCCGAATGCTAATGTTAGCTATGATCTGATGGTAGCTAATTAATTGTTTTTAACTCATAATCTGGCCCAATGTCTCTCTGGATTTTCAGAATCCATTGTCTGTGTAGTTCCTTATCAATCAGGAAGCTGTGAAAACAGTTGCTTAGATCTGTGACTCTTTCATGACTTAAAGCTGTAACATCACAGTAGGACCGAATAACAACTCCTGAGCTTCCCGCCATGAGTGTGACGTCACAGCAACATGGTCACGGTGGGAATACGGCCAATACAATAAGGGAAAACAACTAAGGAAGAGAGCTGACAAAAACCTGGTGTTAATAGTGTGAATACATATAAAACCACCTAAATCTGTGCTTAAGAGTTATGAATTGAAAAGGAGAATTCACCTTTCAAAGGGTTCTTTGATAAGATGTTGTTTTTACTTGGGAATGCCTGACAACCAAAGAGCAGTCACACTCAGGATAATGAAGTTGTCCTCAAT